ATTACAGAGCCGCTGCGCGTGCTTGAGTATGTAGCTTTCAAAGGGGTCTCCGGTAAACAGCTGTTCTTCGAGATCAGTAAACAAATACATTACATTACTTGAACCGACCTGGGATAGTGCCAGCGATGTGCTATGCGGAGGTGTTTAGAGCTGTCAGGCAGCGGGGAAGTGCCATGTTATAGCAGAGTGAAATTACGATGGACAGGTTGTCTCGTATCCACGGTTGCGAGATGAAAGTCCATCGTAATTTACAGCGAATCCTCGCACTAGGAAGGGCTACACAGCCCATTTGACAGCGCATTAATGAGAGTGGTCTCGGGCCAGCCCGTTGAACCTCCACACGATGATTACAAAATCGGGTGAGCCAATCATTTGCTGGAAGGCTGTAACATGTTATTTCATGCTACACAGGCGTTGGTAAGAAGTGTAATTGTCGCGTGGTGACTGCTGCGCAACGGCGGCACGACGTCTTCAAATATGTGGCCGCATGTGCTTATGTGCTAGTCGATGGTGTAGGCGAGGCTGGAAAAGGAAATAGCACTGCAATAAGATCGTCGACTATGCGTGGTGGTGTGAGTGCCGCAACGCTTACAGCATGCCAAGCGGTGGGCATCAGTGGGCGAGCACGTCGTGGCTGACAGCAGACAGCAGACAGCCATGCGTGAATGACAGAGCATGCGGTGATTATGTCAGGCTTGTCAGACCGAACGTTGCGCAAGAACTGGGTTAAGAAATTTGATGTAGTCGATGACGTGCGGCGAGGCCCGTTGGCATCGCAGGCGCGCAGACACATCGCAGACAAGCTCTGGGCCCGCGCGATTATGGCCCGAGTCGCAAGGCTTTTCAGGCTCGGACGAGGTACGGGTCTAGTCTGGCAAGGCTTGCGATGCTCGGCAGGCGAGGAGGGCGATTCGAGGGCGAAGTGGCAGCGATCGGCATCGAGTTCCCCTGACGTTGTGCCCCAAGCGGCGTGGTGCCGAACGGGACAATGGGGCTGCTCATTTCACGTTTCGTCGGGCCAACCAGCTCGCCGCTGCTTTTCGACTGCACCACCCCTTGCCTCGACGCTGATAAGTGAAGTGCCAGCTTTCTTCTCTCGCTCCACACCCACATCTTGTCGCTCATTACTTGCCCGTTGGTGTTGATCGTGCCAGGACTTTCACGCCATCTCTACGTCACGACCGGCGGCGCAGAAGCTTGGTGGTTCGCAGCAAACGGCCGCGCCACTCAGGAACACGAAAAGCGTTGCGACAGCCCTTCACGTACTCCGCAGTACCAGTCAAGCCTCTGTTTATTGCACCGCGAGCAGCACGTAGGTCCTTTTCCTCCAAGCGTCCGCGGTCTCCCGCTGTACCTGCCCAATCCCAGCCCTCAATCTCTTTCCCAGCTTTCGTCCATCTCCTGCACGCTATCCGGCACTGCCGCTCCCCGGTTTTGTCCACGCTCCGGGTGCATGAGCGCGTCAGTCCTACTAAGACTGCCCTTCACCCACCACTGTCCCAGCCGCTGCTCGCCGACGTCCCCACGCAGCGCCGCCAATTCTTCCTCGAGTCGCCTGCTGATCCTTTTCCCGTCTAGCTCCTCCCGCGACCTCCTGCATTCTTCACCGCCAGCTGCAACGTGGGACGATACTCGAGCCTACACCTCCCTGCGTCTGCCCTGCCTACTCTAATACCGCCGTCCGAGAGCAATTGCTGCAATGCCTGTCCGAAGCATCAACCCGTTCGCATCCACCGCCCCTGCTCCCCCCCTCGATCCCTCCGCCGAGAAGCGCGAGCCAGCGCGTCGACAATCCTTCGCAAAGGGCAACAAGTTCACATCCCTCTTCGGTGGCTCCCCCAAGTCCCGGACCGACGCCGCTCTCCTGCGCGAGGCATTCGTTGCCCAGCAACAGGCCCTTCTCAATAACCCCTCGCCCTCGCAAATCTCCCTCCCGACCATCAACCTGACCACTGCGACCGGCGAGAAGATGCCCACGGAGCCCAAGACCCTCTTCCAGCCGCCTTCGCCAGAGGAGCAGCGCCGCCTCGCACGAGCACACGCCCAATTCGGTCCCCTTGGCTCCCAGAAGCACCGCTACCTCAGCAAGTTCGAGGGCGAGTTCGGCGACCCCATTGAGGACGAGCCGCCATATTATTTCCTTTTCACCACATACATCAGCTACTTAATCCTAATAGTATTCGGACATGTTCGCGACTTCTTCGGCAAGCGCTTCAGGAAGCAACACTACAGCCATCTGCAGGAGAAGGACGGATATGCACCCCTCAACAGCGACTTCGACAACTTCTACACGAGACGGTTGAAGATGCGCATCAACGACTGCTTCTCGCGACCGACGACCGGTGTCCCTGGACGCTTCATCACCGTGCTTGACCGCAAGTCAGACGACGGCAACAACACCTTCAAGATGCTCGGTACCACCACAGAAACTCTCAACATGAGCTCCTACAACTACCTCGGATTTGCTCAATCAGAAGGTCCCTGCGCAGACGCTGCCGAAGCTACCATCAGGAAATACGGAATCTCCATGGCCAGTCCCCGGTCAGACAGCGGTACTTCAGATCTCACTGTCGAGGTTGAGGACCTCATCGCCAAGTTCGTCGGCAAGCCAGCTTCAATGGTCTTCTCCATGGGTTTCGTTACGAACGCTACCACATTCCCCACCATCGTTGGAAAGGGCTGCCTCATGATCTCCGACGAACTCAACCACTCTTCCATCCGATTCGGCGCTCGTCTCTCCGGTGCCATGGTCACAATGTTCAAGCATAACGACATGCGCGATCTCGAGCGCAAGCTCCGTGAAGCCATCTCGCAAGGTCAGCCCCGCACCCACCGCCCATGGAAGAAGATTTTGGTCGCCGTTGAGGGTCTCTACTCCATGGAGGGTACCATGTGCAACCTTCCCGGTATCATCAGCCTGAAACACAAGTACAAGTTCAACCTGTTCGTCGACGAGGCCCACTCCGTTGGTGGTGTCGGTCCTCGCGGACGCGGTGTTTGCGACTACTTTGGTATTGACCCCTCGGAGGTTGACATCCTCATGGGTACATTGACAAAGTCCTTTGGCGCAAACGGTGGTTACATCGCCGCTGAGAAGCCCATCATCGACAAGCTCCGCACCTCCAACGCCGCCATGCTCTTCGCCGAGTCACCCGCACCACCCGTCCTCATGCAAATCTCCTCCGCCCTCCGTATCATCGACGGTTCCATCGTCCCCGGCCAAGGCGAAGAGCGTCTCCAGCGTCTCTGCTTCAACTCACGCTATCTCCGTCTCGGTTTGAAGCGCCTCGGCTTCATCGTCTACGGCCACGACGACTCCCCCATCATCCCCGTCATGCTGTACAACCCCGCCAAGATGCCCGCCTTCTCCCACGAGATGCTCAAGCGCAAGATCTCCGTCGTCGTCGTCGGCTACCCAGCCACCCCTCTCGTCTCATCACGAGCCCGCTTCTGCGTCAGCGCCGCGCATACCAAGGACGATCTCGACCGCATGCTCACGGCTTGCGACCAGGTTGGCGAGCTCCTCCAACTCAAGTTCAGCAGCGGTGTTGCTGGCGGTGCGGAACCAGAGGACCTTCTCGAGATGAGCAAGGCCGCGGACGATAACAAGGAGACGATGCCTAAGCCCCCCAGGTGGAGGATCGAGGATGTGCTCAAGAGGACTGTTGATGATGTTCAAGGGACGCTGCGGTAAAAAGAATTGCATGTTTATATATGTCCTACGCAGCATCTTCTTTTCATCAACACTCTTGTCATCCCGACCACACTTACTGGTTTCACGACGTTATTCAGGCGAACACTTTTGGAGCATTTTGGCGTCCCCCGTTGTCGTGCGCGTTGGCCGCGCCTTGTTGTGGCCGCGTTGCGTCTTGCTTGTCTTGTATCATAACTCTTTCTCGATTCAATACCCTCGCTGTTGGCTTTTTTACACTATTAAACTTTTTTATGTCCGCATGGCACTTCTTTGAAGATATGACGACGTTGTGCATTTGAGTTTTGCATTTTCTGGTTATGAGTATTCGTCGTTTTTCTTGTTTGTGATTGTGACTTTGATTGTAAATGTGCATGTTGAAGTCGTGTTGAGTAGGTTGTTGGAGTGGGTAGGAGTCGGTAATCGTAATGTGGTGGCTGGGTGATTGGGAAGGTTGATAGATGGTAGGGGGTAGATGGTAGACATGTATATTGATTAGATGGTCTATAGACACATGGAGGATACTGTAGGGCGATGAATGTTGTAACAACACTAGACTACAATCATCGCCCTCCAGTATCCACCATATGTCTATAGACCATCTAATCTGGATACTGGAGGGCGACATGGGAGATAGCGGCGCAGGGAGAGTGAAAAGAAAATAAACGTCATGATGAGCACACACCTCTTTCCTTGGTTTGAACGTTGTCACACTTGGCTTTTTGCACGCGACTATGCCTTTTGTCTTGTTTGAGATGTGTCATGTTTGATATGCTGATTTGTCTTCATTGAGTCGTTTGTTTCTTTTCGGTATTTGCTTGGTTGGATGTTGGATGTTGGATGTAAGACGACGTATACAAGGTGAGAAGCGTAGAACAGCTGTTCGTGATGGGTAGGGAGTGGGTTGGCTGCAAAAGTGGAGGAAATACATGATGAGGCTGTTTGACGGACAGAAGATGATCTTAGTTGGGTTTGGCTATGTTGGCTATGGGGTCTGTCGGGGCAACTTGATCTTGCAGTTGGTAGGGATATGGGATATGACGTCGGTAATGTAAGAGGGTGTATATGAAGGAGGCGAAAAGATATGTCTTGGTCAGTGAGAAGACTTCCCCAAGACCAATTCCACTCTGTAAAGTAAAGTCACACTCAGAGATCACAACATCACCAAATTGTCAAACAAGTTTCCAGGTATCATAACTGCGATTCAACAATCAAACTATATACAACTCAAAAGTTCTCATAACCCCCTCATAAACATTCATACCACATCATCCATCGCTAGGCAAAAAGCAAACTCACATCCAAGCGTTTAACCGCGGGTAAGAGTAAGACCGTAAGCAGACAGAATCTCGTTGACAGGCTGGAAGTAAGTGACACCTCCGCTGGAGCAGTCACCAGAGCCACCGGAAGTGACACCCTGGGCCTGAGCACCGCTGTACCAGGAACCGCCAGAGTCACCGGGCTCAGCGCAGACGTTGGTCTGAGTAAGACCAGTGACACGGCCCTCAGCGTAGGAGACGGTGGCGCCGAGAGCGCGGATAGTACCGCAGAAGACACCGGTGGTGGAACCGGAGCGGCAGACGCTGCCGCCGGTGGCGGTGGCGGTGCTGCCGGACACGGGGAGGGTGCTGCCGGCGTAGTTGTTGATGCGGCCCTGGTACGTGTTGCCAGAGGTGCCGCGGATGTACGAGTAGTCGTTGCCGGGGAAGCTGGAGCCAGCGAAAGTACCGATGGTGGCACCGGCGCTGGTGGAGGCAGTGTTGCCAGTGGTACCGCAGTGGCCTGCGGAGACGAATCCACCGGTGACGGAGAAACCGACGGAGCAGCGGCCGGCACGGTTGATGTAGTAGGCGTCACCACCGCGGATGGTAGCGAAGGTGGTGGGCATGGCGGCAACGGTCTTGACCTCGTACTCGGAGTCGGCGAGACCAACCTTCTTGGCGAGGTCGGCAGCGGAGTCGGTGCTATCGGCGAGAGCCTCGAAGACGAGCTTGTTGGAGGCAACGTCGACGTAGTAGGCGGCGATGCCAGACTCGGAGCGCTTGGCGGACTCGATGTCCATGTTGTCAAGAGCAGCCTTGGCCGCCTCAAGCTTGGAGAGAGGGACAGAGACGAGGAGGGGCTTAGCACCGGCGGCCTCAACCTCAGAGGCGGAGGCCTCGTCGGTGACGGCAACGGTGAGGTCACCGTCAACGAGGTAGGCACCACCGAAGGAGGCACCGGTGGAGGTACGGAGCTGCTCAATGACATCGGTGGCCTTGAGCTCGCGGGCTACACGGGCGTGGGCCTGCTCGGCATCAAGTCCAAGGTCGCGCTTCATGGCAGCGAGGATGTCGGGGTGCAGGCTGTTGGCAGCAGTGGTAGGGGCACCGTAGACGATGGGCAGGAAGACTGCCACGGCAGCGAGGAAGTTGGTGAGAACCATGGTGAAGATACCGAACGTTTGATGTTGTAGAGGCGAGAGCGAAGGTAGTAGAGTGAGTGACACTGATGAGAGTGATGATTTGAAAACGACGGGAATACCCTCCTATACTTATACTTCTTCGTCCACGTCTGGCGTCGTGACTTGCATCATGTCTTCGTCCGTTGCTGTGCAAGATAGAGCCCTAGCCCGCATACACGGCTACAAACTGCCTCCTTCCTCATCCGCTACGTGGTGTGGTCCCACGTGCTTGCAGTATCAGAAAGGTAGTCTCCAAAAGGCACCTCACAAGAGCTGTAAATTGGATCGACCGCTAACCAGAATATCTCCTTCCTCTTCCGCTGCAAGGCATGTTTACCCCGGGGTGCTACGTTTCAAGAGTATCGGAAAGGTAAACCCCATAGGGCACCTCACAAGACATTGCCCCCACGGTGTTACACCCAAACAGGCACCTGACAAGAGATTCGCCCCTGGAGGCCATCGAGCTATCGATGTAGCGACTCTTAACACCAAAGTTAACGGTCTGCAAGCACCCCTACGCTATCCAGGTACGCGAATCCGTTCAGGAAGGAGGTTGAGATACGACAGAGATCCGGTAGGGGTAGATAAGCGAGCTGGTCGGATAATGTGCCAGCCTTAGGGAATAACCCCGCACGGGCATATCCGTTCATGCAGAAGCCATACACACCTCTTTACCATACCTTCCTGATTCATCATGTGTCCCGCTGCCAAGAGCCAAGACCTTTATCTTCTAATATCGAGGGGCGCTTAGCAGATAGGAGCTTTTGCGATGGCTCTCTTTATTCGCCGACTTTCTTGTAGTGCCGGTAGTTTGGCGTTCTACTCTCTTGGCGAGCTCGGGAATTGCAAGGGCATAGTCCACCTATTCTGGTGTTTGTTCGTAGTCCAAGTAAATGGCCAGTAGATATGCGTGCTAATCGTGGTGATCGTCACTGGCAGCTCCCCAGGGTTGAACTTGTGAGCGTAGCGACAGTGTCTAGACTCGTAGAAAGTCCCTATGAGTCAGGGAACTTTGCCGGTTCGTCGCTGATCAAGAAGGGTCCAGCTGCTTCTAAGCGATCATTCCTCGTGATGTTTACCATTGGTAAATACGCGGTGGTAAAGTTCAGTTGGCTCCAGTGCCGCTCGTCGAATACTAATCAACCCAGAATCCTGCTGCAAGAGAACCACAACTTCCTGCACACATGTGCTGGCGCTGTTCGGTTATGCTGTATGGACGTTGTTTTTCCGTGTTACTAGTATCCGCAGTAGTAGTGAAGGATCAGAAGGGAGGGTCGCTCCGAGCGGGTCCTACACCCTCCTCCTGCCGGTACTCGTATTAGAATACAAGCTCCCAATCATGGCGAGGCGTGGGCAAGAATCCGTCAATGCGAGTTCGGAAGACTAGATGCATGAGGGATAGCATACACATTGCCACAACCGCTCGTAGCGTCCTCATGCCCAGCCGTTTGCCGTGCCTGAACCAAGGAAGGCTGGTACCTGGCTGCAAGTGGGTGGCTGCAAGCGTGACCCCGTATTGCGCCATCGTTCTACAAGCCGAGGTGAAATCGCTGCGCACGCGGGTATGACGAAGTCAACGGCGCCTGCACCATGTTCGAGGTTGAGTCGAGTGGCAAGATGTTATGCTGTTGTATCCGCATTTGTGAAATGGCTGATGAGACGTGATGTGTGAGTACCTGCGGGTGCAGAGGTGATGGACGGAGGGGCAGACGTGGCCGACGCCGGCGAACATCATTTCCACTAGCGCAACGCTAAAACGCACGACGTTCCAGACAGGAAGGAGCTATACGTTGATGTCATGCGGACATGAGACAGCCGCACCTCATACAAGAAAAAGCATATACCAGGAGTGTAGACTACATCACGATGAACGCATGCAAAGTAGGTAAGCTGACGTCGATGTAGGCTCCTGGGTGTTCGGTTTTCCTAGGTCAACGTGGACGGGTTCTGAGTGATATCGCATAGCTAAATTGCACCCGGCCATTCTATAAGATACAACTCAGGCTCGCAACGCCAGCCTGAAGACATCGCAAGTCCCTACAATGCGCATGCAAAATCGTCCCAAAGCGCCGCTTTCCTCTTGTCGTCGGCCGCCAAATCCTCACACTTTGATGCGGAACCTTTGCAAAACAGATCGAAGGTGAACGGAAAAGCAGAGTACCAGCATGAGCAAATGTTACTCAATTTTTCCCTCTCGGTGATGTCAACAGGCGACTCTGTCTTTGATGTACCTTCGATGGATGTTTGTATATGCCAGTTGCTTGTGTCATTGTAATTCGCACACTTGAGATCACCGAGAGCAGTGTAATCTGTGAGCCAGGGAAGTTTGTCCTCTCGCTCATCCGGTGTGACGTAGACGCCGTAGAGGCGGTCGTTGAGCTTGAGCACGCCACCACGTCTTTTGGTGGCGTCGGCATCGCACTGGGTTGATTAGTACCTGGACTGATATTGCCATGGGAATGCACCAATGTCTTACATTGCGTATGATATCCTTGTAAGTCAAGCGACAGTGGTCGACTTTGTCGTCGTCTGTCGCTCCTTCAAAAAAGTGCCAAGTGGTTCGAGCTTGTATGAACAACGCAGGATCAGCGACCGCAAAGAATCCAACATGTGAGTCGGCGTTTGTTTTTGTGAGTTTGTACGCCCTACTTGCGTTACGGAAGTCCGAGGTATCGCGCACAGATGGTGGAATTGGGGTCGTCTTGTCCCAGTGCTTGATGATGTCTTCGCAGAACTGTTGGGCAAAGCCAACTGCCTCCTCTCCGTCGAATTCTTTCGCATTTGGGTACTGGTCATGGCCTTCACCGAAGCAAGTACGGTCGGACGTTGCATCCGTATTGAGTAGCTGGTCTTTGTGGGCGTCTACAAAGGTACCGATCCATGAGTCCTCCTTGCCCCTTACGGACTCGTCTGGGAGTTTTCTGTAATACGGGGCGCTTAGTATATCGGCCTTTCGTTCTTCGTCAAGCTCAGTCCCAATATCGAATTCAGTTTTATCCGGTTGTAGTAGAGAAATGTCGTAGTTCGGCTGGGAAAGTCCGCGCCAGTGGAACCAGCCTTTTACTTGGATTTGGGCAGATTCTTCGTTATTGAAAGGAACGACCATTTTGCCGAAAGATGGATCATCATCAATTCTAGGGAAGTAAGGAACCGTACCGCCGATAGCCTGCGATACATAGTTGGATAGGGCAAAAAGAGCATAGTTGTCCGCTAGAAATGATCAGCTTGACAGGCGCTTGTGCAGGATATGATGAACATGCCGTTCAATGCTCCCCAGTCGTTAGAGCTGTCGTGAACTCGAGCCAAAACTTTGGCGCAGAGTACCCCGTAGCAAGCTGACCAGGACTCCTTGATTCCGCCAGGTGAATCTTGCCACACATTAACCCAAAGGTCTGAGATGGGTCGTTTTAGTTCTTTCGATGTGGGAAGAAACTGGACCAGCATGCGCAGCAAGGTAGTAGCTGATCGTTGTCAGTGATCTAGCAGCAAATGTACAATTGTTGAATTACTCGCCTCGATTGTCGTGATAATACCCTGCGTTGTATCGAGCCGTAAGATTAGTGGGAGAATTGATACCCATCTGAACCCTATGATTCAGTGGAGGGAGTCCGAAGTATTCGCGACAGATTACAAGCCCGGGTTGTTGACCTTGCGTGCCGTCCCTCTTTTGTGTGTCAACCACTGTCTTGGCAATGCCCGGAAATTTGGTACGCTCGTCACACGGAGCTGAGCCGTCGAAGTTGCACCCCACCAAAATTGGCTCTGAAAGTTGCAGCACGCCTGGAAAAGCACTCTTGATGACCGGGATGTGTTCGACTGAACTTTTGCCAAAAAACAGCCAAAAGTTTGGGTTGTCCGTGTAGGCTATTTGGCTTTTGGCTGTGACGTTGGCCAGATCCACAACATCTTTCAAATCGTTATCAAGCATGTCTCGATGCTCAGCCTTGCATGAATCATCAAAGGAGATTATGGACCCGGCAGTTGATGGCAGCGCTGATACCGAGGGCTGAGTGCCTGTTGGTGCGAGAGTCTGGGAAGGTGATTGTGAATCTGCTTGAGAGGACGCTTGTTGGCTAGCCTGAGAAGCAACGGAGACCACCTGAAAAGCCACCGAGGCAGTCTGGGAAACTGCAGAGGCTACCTGCGAAGAACTTTGTGCGGCGCCATCCGCTATGAGAGAGAGGATCAAGAAGATCGTAAGGATTAGACCATTCGGTCTTAACACTGACGTGGCTAACGAGCGGACTTTCTTGATGGCGTTAAACATGTTGCAGGACGAGCGGTAGGAGAGGAATAGCCGTAAAATGGCAAGACACTAGGTATAGTATGCAGGTATAGCAAAGATGTGAGGTGATGTTGGCTGTGTGGTATTCGCGTGATGGTGTCTATCGAAGAAAGATTGTAGGAAGGAAGGAGAGAACTGCGATGCGAGATCTTATACTCACCAATGACTGTTGCGTAGGACGTGGAAGTAAGCGTTCTGTCATAGCGGAGTAGTTGTGACTAGTCTATAGAATCTGGTGACTGGACGGTGGTTCAAGTTCTTGTTTAGTGACAGTTGGGATGTTTCGCGGTTCCAGTCATTTTCCGGACCGCATACGATGGAATATACTCCAGCTTCGTATAGAGATCAACTCTTATATTCCATACATGTGCATCCCCAGCCTCTCATCCCGCCGCCTAGCCTACCCACTAATGCACCGCATGTTCGCCGCAGCACCTATGGTAGCGCCTTGCTGCTTCCAAACATCTGCGCAAGACTTCCCCGGTTGCTTACAGACCATAGCCGCACCCATGGGGTTGCTACCAAACCAACACGTACAGAGCCGCCCCGTACGTTCGCTATCGTTGATATCGATGAAGGGTGCGATCCGCCATGCACTGGTGGCATTGTAATCCGTGCATTTAGATTCCAAGGTCCGTGGTATGTCCCAGTGGGCTGATGGATGCGTCATAGCGCCTACGGCGAAGATCTGCAAGTGCGTCAATCATCATAGCATTATCGTTCGGTCATATCCAACGGGGAAATACGCACCATGTCGTTAATTTTGAGATAGCCACCATATTTGTCGTCACTGTCTCCTCCATCACACTAGGTTTGTTAGTATTGGACGTAAGCATTGGTAGAGATTGGCAGCCCACATGTGTAATGAGGTCGTTGTATGTTGCTATGCAATGCGAAGCTTTCTCGTCGGATTGTATTCCTTCGAAATATACAGATAAATTCTTCCCTGTCATGAAGCTATCAGGGCTTGGGGAGACATAGTAAACCAGATCCTTTGTACCATCCGGTAGTGGTGTATACAACTCGACTTCCTTATCGATTTGGAAGATGCGCGGATGTAGAGGCTTGCCAGCGAGCATGTAGTCGTTGACTTTGTTCTTGCAAAAGTTGTCCAATTCACTCTGAACTTCGTCAAATGTAAAGGCTATGGCGTCCGGGAACGCGGCTTTATCTTCGCGATAGCATGTGTATTCTTTTGATGCACCCAGGTTGGACATGCCGTTCTGTTTTGCTTCGTTGAACACCTTCAGGAACTTGTCACGAAGTACTTTAAAACCGGATGTGGTGGCGCCAAAGGACCAGGGCGCATTCTCTAGATCAGCCTGAGATCCTTTTGGAAGTTGATCCTTGAAGTCCAAAATGTCTGTCTTCTGGTATCGCTCGACGTCGTAATACCACTGGGAATCACTCTCTGCGCTAAATTCCGGAGTCGCATGGAAGGTCTGGATATCTCCCAAAAGAAGAGGCCGAATGATGGGATTTGGACCATCTTCGAGACGAGGAAGCCATGGAAAGTTGGATGCTCCAAGACTGTTAGATTCCCCAAGTTGACGAGAAACGTACTTCTGCAACGCAAAAAGAGCATAGTTATCGGCTATACCCGTCAGCATCAGGCAAGAGTTCTTCTTGTTGTCAAATGTATACCATTAAGAATGCTCCATGTTTCACTGTCAGCCAACTGAGCTAGGAGCTTAATGCAGTATACGCCATAGCAAGCTGTCCATTTGCTCGCCCCACCCGCATATCGCATGTACACCCACAGGTTGGAGATATGCCGGTTCCAGCCCTCTCGTTGTGGGAGATAGTAGAGCAAAGCTCGCAAGAGTGCGGAAGCTATTAGTAGATTAGTATAAGGTGAATGTGGATATGTTCGAGATGGCATTCCCATACCTTGGTTCTCATGATAAGAGCCCATATTGAAACGGCGCGTCCAGTCGACTGAATCGCTCAGGCCCATCTGTACTGCCTCGTTCAGAGGAGGGAATCGGAAGTACTCCCAACAAAAGTAGAGATTAGGTTTGAGGTCCACCCGGGGGCCTTCGCTGCCTATGCCGCCATACACGTGTTTACTTTGACATGCCGCTGTCTCGTTCTTGATGTCGCAAACCGCATTGATCTTCCAAGCAGCACTCACGGTTGCGCTTGAATAGTCCTTAAATACGCTCTCGACTGTGCTAGCATTCGGAATAGCGCTGGTACCAAGATTCTCCACGAAGGGTAGGTCTTGTCCAAGATTGGCATTTGACCAATCCAGCATTCCATAGAAGGCTAACGTGCCAGTCCCAACAAAGGCGGTTTTGATGATGTTCTTTTGATCGGGGTCACAAGTATTGCCGATCACGAAATTCTTGTCCGCGTCGACGTCGGGGACTACAATGGGCGCCGCGGAGGCAGCTTGTGAATTGGTCGGAGTAGTGCTTGGCGACGCGGCCTGAGAGATAGCTTGAGTGGTCTGAGAGGCGACCTGAGAAGGCTGGGAAGTAGCCTGAGAGGTCTGAGATGTAACCAGTGAAGTCTGAGAGGCAGCCTGCAAAGCCTGAAAGGAAGCCTGCACAGAAGCCTGTGATGCGCTTGGTGAGGTGTCGGTACCAGCCTGAGCCGAGCTTTGAGCAGCAGTCCCGGCGATTAGAGAAAGGATCAAGAAGAGCGTGAAGACTACGCTGTTCAGTGGGACGATAGCCATGCTGGAGCTGCGAACGTCCTTGCCGGCGTGAAAGATGGAAGCCTGAGTGGCCGGCAATAGTGACCGTAGCTCGACAGTGTGCGATAGGCCGTGTGGGTGTGCAAGCGTGTATGGCGCGTTGTTGGGTAGTCAATCGATGTGTAGTAGTTCATATGAGAAAGATTGTAGGAAAAAAGAAGGAGAATGCATTGCAAGACCTTGTACTCAGCGATGACTATTGCGAAAGACGTAGCAGGATAATTTTGGTCATACACCGGAGTCATCATGACTAGATTCCATCAGGCGAATGACTGTTTGCTGCTTGGGCCGTAGTTTATATATCCCATCCGTTCCAAGATGCGTAGATGTTCCGAAGACGGGCATGTTCCTTTGAACCCGTAAAGATCGACTTAACGGCTCGCTCGCAATGTGCTCTGATATCCTTTCGGTCCAAGTGGAAATGCTGCGCCGCGAGGTAGTACTCTTGCGAGAGTGGACTGCAAAAGACACCTACATCATCCGTCTGCCGGGCGTCAGTCATCACGAGAAGCACGCGTAGTCTACAGCTGAACGTACGCTCAGAGCGACGGGAACACTGCTGTGTCGCCACACTCCAAAGTGGTGGTCCGAGTAAGTGCCCGTGATCATCTTAGCATGCACGTTACAGCTGAGGCACAGCTCGACGCCGATTCCGTGCTCTTCGATGGTCTTCTTAAACTCATCTTTGACATGTATGACATGGCCCAGTCTGTCAGGTTGCCATGACAGGAGTATTTGCAACTCCAAATCCGAGGAAGAATTTTCGCTCTCGGCAAAGTGCAGCGTGATCTTCAGTCCGGCAGCCTTTGCCCGAGCGAAGCTATCGCCGAAGATGCGAATGTCACCTTTCGCTGGGTCGCCGCATAGGTCGACACCAACAACGCCGGCGGACTGATACTTGATGGCAAGATCGACGACTTCTTCCGCGTCTGCGATGTTGTTGCGACGGTCGATTGACAGTATGAGGAAAGCTCGCATGGTGTTGTTAGCATCGTCGTTATGGGCATTGAGTATGTCCAAAACGGTCTTCACGTAATCATCCTTGGTTACGCCCTCTCCAAGGATCGCTCTCGGGGTCGTTCGAAGCTCAACGTATACCACCCCATCATCCTGGAAGTCTTGCAACACAGCCCTGGTGGAGTACCTAGATTGATCAACCGCAGCTCACCATACACGTCCATGTCGACAGACATACTGAATGCTCGGCAAATCACTGCAAAGGCGATAGATGTATGACGAAAACAGCGGGAAGAACCTAATCTAGCTGTCAGACGTCTGCTAGTATTTCGCGTGGTGAGCCAGTGGTTTGGGACGACCAAGCGGGTAGCGATCATTTGTCAGGGGAATATTGGCCGCGAAATCGCTTGCGCGATCGTCTTGGCCCATGTATTCCCAACGGCACGCCGGTGTTACAGCGAGAATTCCGAACGACGAGCAAATCGAGCTAGGCCTACGTTTTGATATCGTAGTCGACCTTGCCCGCGGGTATAGCAAGCCAGGGATCCTCGAGGTCGAAGTCAGGATGCCGTGCTTTCTTTGTCTCCCATATGGCGTGCAGGCAGTCGCGACTGATGCTGCCGGTTAAGTGGGCATGAAGCTGAGTCGCGTCATTAGCAGCAGCGAACGGAAGTCTGAGCGTCCTTGGCGCGATGACTAGGGACCGAGGAGGCTGGAGCAGTACCTCAATCTTGGGCAGGCCCTTGGTGAAGGCAGCGTCGACGGGCAGGTCGTGTGCAGTCGCGATGGGGAGTGCAGCCATGCTGGGGAACACGGCGGTATTGGTGGCGTGGGGATGGTTCTCGAAGCGATAATGGAAAGGTGAACAGACTTCAGGAGGAGGCCTGGGGGGTATAGCGGCGGACGCGGGTCATAGTGCCAGCCGAGGCTGCTCGCTGCTCATTCGTCCGTCGCCTAAAGGAGGAGGTGCGCTGCAGGAGATTGCAGCGCGCGCCTTCTTCGTCAAGGTCTGGACAGGAGCAGAGCATAGCAACACCACGTTCGCGCCTCCAGCTGTGCAAACACCCGACCCGACAGCACGCAGGGCTCCTTCACGTTACCGCCCCTTCACATTGCTCACGTGTCACGGCAGGTGTTTGCAGTGGGCATCTTCGCGACAGACTGGCGGAGCACCGCCCTTTGATCTCCAGCGCTCGCTGCTCGGCTAGGCCAAGCTAAGCTCACCCCGGGCCGCTCCTGTACCTCACTCATCTCCAAGCACTCACCCTTCCATCCTCACGCCCCCACGACCGTTTGCCAGCCGCCGCTCCCTCTGCGCAAGCAATTGATTCTGCTCTGCGCGCGTCTAGCCATTGCTGCCGCCTGTCCATCGCTCCTGCCGCCGCTCTCTCTCGCTTCCGGCTGCCGCGTTCCCTAGGAGGCCCCTGGATTCGCCTGCCTCGCCGTTTCGCGCCGCTCGCGACAACACCCTCACCACCAGCACACCACTAATATATGGCCGATATGAACCAAGAAACGATTCAGCAGAAGATCCAGCTCGCCCGCCGCGACGCTGAGGCGCTCAAGGACAGGATAAAGCGCAAGAAGGATGAGCTCGCTGACACGACCCGTATGTTCTTTTTCCAGCCGGCGTGCTCACCGCATCGGAACCTCGTAGACGGCTAACACAAGAGCGCAGTTCGCGATGTCGCCAGAGACCGTGTCGAGGCTCTGCCGCGCCTCACCATGAAGACGAAGCGCACCCTCAAGGGCCATCTGGCCAAAATCTACGCCATGCACTGGTCCACCGACCGTAGACATCTCGTCTCCGCCTCGCAGGACGGAAAGCTTATCATCTGGGACGCCTACACGACCAACAAGGTCCACGCCATTCCTCTGCGATCGTCCTGGGTCATGACGTGCGCCTACTCCCCGTCCGGCAACTACGTCGCCTGTGGTGGTCTCGATAACATCTGCTCCATTTACAACCTGTCGGCGCGGGAAGGCCCAACACGCGTGGCACGCGAGCTGTCTGGCCACTCGGGCTACCTCAGTTGCTGCAGATTCATCAGTGATAAGCGCATCCTTACATCATCCGGTGACATGACCTGTGTGTTGTGGGATCTGGAGACTGGCTCCAAGGTGCACGAATTTGCCGACCATCTCGGTGATGTAATGAGCTTGAGCATCAACCCGCTCGACCACAACCAATTTGTCTCCGGTGCTTGCGACGCCTTCGCGAAGCTCTGGGACATCAGACAGCAGAAGTGCGTGCAGACCTTTGCCGCGCACGACTCTGACATCAACGCCATCCAATTCTTCCCCAACGGAAATGCCTTCGGTACCGGTTCCGACGATGCCTCCTGCCGTCTGTTCGACATCCGCGCCGACCGCGAGCTCGCATCATACCAGGTATGCCCGCTGACATATCTGGCACTCTTGGCATTTGGATTACTAATGTCTGCCATAGATTCCTGAGCCCGTCTGCGGTATCACATCCGTAGCCTTCTCCGTCTCCGGAAGACTGCTATTTGCTGGTTACGACGACTTCGAGTGCAAGGTAAGCAGTCAGCGCAGCCCCCACAGGTTCCACAGTCTAATAATATCCAGGTTTGGGACGTACTCCGCGGCGAACGCGTAGGCACATTGCAAGGTCACGACAACCGCGTCAGCTGTCTCGGCGTTAGCAACGACGCGCTCAGTCTATGCACTGGTTCATGGGACTCAATGGTAGGTTCTCTCGTGCTCCCGTCTGCATTACACAACTGACTTGGCATAGCTGCGCATTTGGGCATAAGTGCCGTCAGCCTCCCCAACTTCCACGACGCCATGTAACGACGCCAATCCGAACGTGTGCGCCTTACCGTAATATTGGCAAACTACAACCTACGACAGCGATCTCCGCAACTCCTGGCATACCATACCCCTGCTGCATCTTATCAACCAGGAGACTGAGCGCTGTCATACTCTAAGAATATAATACTCGCACCTGTTGGAATCGTCGATGTGGCTACGGTGCCAACTGATGTCCCGGCGCCCGGAATCTTTTTGTGCTCAAACTACTTTTTCTTTTCATACCACTGTTCTATTCCTTTCTCGTCGGTGCGAGCATACTGCTCACACTCGTCTTCATGTCCGGGCCGGCTGTTCAACGTACATGAGTAGCACCTATCTACATCAACCTTCGACATAGTCTTCTCCTTGCGTTCTGCCTGATCATTAAAAGCGACCGATTGTACTTGCACTTGCGTGGGAAGAGATGGGGCTGTGCAAGACGGGGTGCTTCATTACTGTATGTTTCGGATTCTACTACGTGCAAATGGTTTTGGAGAATCCATGGATGAGGGGGACTGAATGGACGGATCATGGCTTTCTGGCGCCTGGGCTTTCAATGTGTACGATTTGATTGGGTTGTGAAGGATGAGTCGGTAGTCAGCGAGTTTCTATATACCTCTTTTAAGTTTATCGAACGCTTTTGCATGATGTTAAGATGACTGATATTGCCTTTTCCAGGAGCCTTGGAACGTCTCGAGCATTCCAAGGTTTGAGCGCGCTCAGTCCAGGTCAGCTCGTGAAAGAAGTAATCAACGTCAACGTGCCTTCTAGACCTTGTCGTAGCTGTTGTTCGGCGCTCTCAGCGGTTACTGTAGCCTCAGCGGTAGAAGTTACTTTTCATATGCTGGCCTAGGCCACTGTGCGAGGCATTAACAGCTCCAAGGTGATTGCACCACCTGGGATGATACCCGCTCGCGAATCTAGTGGCGCGCACACCGTTATGCAAATGACTAGGTTGCCCAGGGGACCCCAATTGCCCATCCGGACGTCACTCCGGGACAAGCAGTGACAAGCCGGAGTATCAGCGATCAGAGCTTATTGCGGTGATGGTAGCGTGACCGTACTTTAGGCGTTCGTCGGGCAGGGCTGATAGATTATGGTTGTGATCTTCATGGATGACAGCAGAGCGACCGAGCAGAAGACGCAGGAGCCACGTCGTATTTTACTTTCACCCGGGCGGTTATGCAACGTCCTTCTATTTTCGAAGAGAAATCAATGTATCGAACCATCGTCTTTGGCATTAACGTGCCTCAGCTAATGCCCGCAATCTTAGGCTGCATGGCAACTGGACCCTGAAATCGACAAAAGGAAGCGCCTCAGCCGAGGCAGGAGTCGATCGGAGAATAGGAACGCGATGGATAGCATTAATGCTTCTAGAAGCGAGCACAGAAGGATTCCATTGCATGTGCACCGGGGGACTCGCATCCGGGATGTGGCCGGGACGAGAATATCAAACAAGACCGAAAGAGAGATCCCTCGGCCCCTTTTGGTCGGCGGTGCCATGGAACTCTGGTGCTGCATGACAGTTGGTGCCTCGACGAGATTGAAACATCCAGAGCGCATGAGAGGGTTAGCAGAGGCGTAAGGTCATTGTGACGTGTAGCCTCCAAACAGCAGCGAGGATAGGGCAGGTTGATGCTGCGACAGACGTGTCGAGGAGGCGTGTAGCAAGATAGTTCGGCATGGTGTTTCAGCAGTCGTCAGGCTTTCCACGCGGCGCCCCAAGCCATTGCGCGCCACCCGCGGGCTCTCAATTGGGCGGTGTACAGGCGGGTGAGCGTGTTTCGCACTCGAGCATCCTGTTTCATAAGGCCGACATGCCTTTGCGCTTCGCCAATGGAGTGCGATGCGGCCCCGTGCGGGCGTCTAATGCATCGTGAAATCGGCCGGTCAGCATCAGCCCTAAAACAGCACCTACCAAGCACACCCCTACACACCGTACCGCCTCGACCACGTTATCCACGTACGCACGTTGGAATCCTCGAGGGAATTCTCCCGTGCGCGTCCAATTGCATCGCTGAAACCCCAGCGCGTACTCGAAAATAGCCCTGCAAGCACGCGCGCCAAGGCCTGTCATCTAGCGGAGCACCATCCCAGACGACCGACCCCAACCTTGCAACGACTCCCTTTCCTTCTGCCCACCACAGACCAACGCGTCACCAGACACCGGGACCTGTACACGGACTCTGCAAACAGCTGACGCTGACCGTCCCCCTTCTCCACACATATATCAGTCCGGCGCCCGTCATTCGGGTCCCGCTCTTCTTTTTCTTCCGTCATGACTACAGCCGCTCAAGACGAATTCAACGAACTGATCCGAGACAAGGACCGCGAAGACCGCCACCCCGAAGACCGACACAACGACTCCGACCTCTCCGACCCGGAATCCCCTGGTGCCGCCGACGACTACCTCGAGAAGATCGATACCGACGACGAGCTCGACATCCCAGCCGACATGAGGGCGAATTACTACATGCCCAACCTGCGCTCAGAGGCCAACACGGGGCCCAAGGGTGTCATTGCTGACGCCCAGGCGTTTGAGCAGGCCAAGAAGCAAGCACGCCGATTCACATGGAAGAAGAACGCCGCACCCGCACAGTACAATGTCAATGCCTATCACGACGAGAAGACATCGAGCAGTGATGACGAGGTCGACGAGGGCTTCATGCGCCAATGGCGTGAGGCGAGGTTGAAGGAACTGCAGAATGTTGGTGAGCGGATACGGTCGAGGACCAACAGCCCTAGCCGGAGGATATACGGCAGCATGCCGTTGGTGGATGGTGAGGGGTATCTCGATGCTGTCGATAAGACGGCGTCGGGTACTACCGTTGTTGTTTTCATCTATGACTCCCAGGTATGTTGAGATGAAACTTAAACACACTGCATCAACTAACTCATATAGTCGAACATCAACCTCGATGTCGAAGAGTGCATGCGTGAGGTCGCCAAGCGCAACGACACCGTCCGCTTCGTTAAGATGCACGGCGA